ATACTAAGGACTGTCTTTGTCTCAAAGGTGAGCCCGATAACGATGAAGACGCAGGGTGGAGATTCAGTGATAATCATGATACCAGCGACAGTGAGGGTAAGCCCCGTGAAACTTATCATGGGCATTCAAAGCAGAATGAAGATGATACTAACGACTCTCTTCGTGTTAAAGGTGAGTTGGATGAGGATGTGGAAGCTGAATGGAGAGACTATGATGATCAAAAATCTATTGATAGTGAAGGTAAGCTTCATAAAACATATCATGGAGATTCATACACATTTAATATGATACTAATGTGCCCTATTGTGTTTAAGGTGGGTTGGATGATGATAATGATGATGAATGGAGGGACGGTTATGATATTGAAGCTATCGAAAGTGAAGGTAAGCCTCATGAAAACTTATCACGAAGAGTCGCAACACATTTAAAATGATATTGATAGTGAAGGTAAGGTTCATAAAACATATGGAGATTCGCAACACAGAAATTCACAGCTTAACTAAGACGATACTAAGGACTGTCTTTGTCTCAAAGGTGAGCCCGATAACGATGAAGACGCAGAGTGGAGATTCAGTGATAATCATGATACCAGCGACAGTGAGGGTAAGCCCCATGAAACTTATCATGGAGATTCAAAGCAGAATGAAGATGATACTAACGACTCTCTTTGTGCTAAAGGTGAGTTGGATGACGATACAGAAGCCGAATGGAGAGACGGTGATGATAAAAAAACTATTGATAGTGAAGGTAAACCTCATGAAACATATCATGAAGATTCGCAACACATTTAAAATGATACTAATGACCCTCTTTGTGCTGAAGGTGAGTTGGATGACGATGATGAAGATGAATGGAAAAACGGTGATGATAATAAATCTATCGATAATGAAGGTAAACCTCATGGAACCTATCATGTAGATTTAAAGCATATTTAAAATGATACTTATGACCCTCTTTGTGCTAAAGGTGAGTTGGATTTCAATGGAGAAGATGAGTGGGGAGACACTGATGATCTTGAATCTGTCGATAGTGGAGGTAAGCCCCAAGAAACTTATCATGGAGATTCATAACGGAATTAAAATGATACGTACGACTCTCTTTCTACGAAAGGTGAGCCTGAAATTTTTCACGCCTTATTTTCGCTAATGGGAGGATCGCAGAACTTAATTAGGGAATGATTCTATCGGTAAAGTGAAGGTAAGCCCCATGCAACGTGACATGGATGTTTATTGAGGATTAAGATTATACTAATAACTCTCTTTGCGCTAAAGGTGGGCTAGATGATGACAAAGAAGCTGACACTGAAGGTAAGTCCCATGAAGTTATCATGGAGATAAACAGCAGAATTAACACGATACTAATAACTCTCTTTGTGCTAAAGGTGAGATGGATGACGACGAGGAAACCCTGTGGTTAGGCGGCGATGATCTTGAATCTGTCAATAGTAAAGGTAAACTCCAAGAAACCTATCATGAAAATTCACAGCAGAATAAAAATGATACTTATGACCTTCTTTATACTAAAGGTGAGTTAGATGACGATGAAGGAGACGACTGGAGCGACGGTGATGATCTTGAATCTATCGATGGTGGAGGTAAGCCCCCTGAAACTTATCAGGGAGATTCACTCGTTGCTAGAGATGACTTCATAGATACCGAAGCTTCAGTTCCAGATACCGAAGGATTTAAGGACGTTCTTGAATTCGCAGATTATTTCGCACAAACTGAAGATACAGAGTGGAGTGACGATGATGGCGAAGAGGTTTCTGAAGGCTATGGAGTTCGTGATGAGGACTCAGAATTTGCATGGTGAAACGACGACGACGACGAAAACTTTTTAAACTTTTTAAACTTTTTTGATGACTTTGGAAATGATCTGGAGGAAATCTGAAGCTCAGAGGGAAAAGAGGACCTTTCTTATTTTCAATTATTTCAATATGATAACTGTTAACCTGCCTTTGTGGAGTCCATATTTTCTGGAAGGGGAGGCCCCTTAATCAGGATATTTCAGTGAAGACAATATGTGACTGCATTTAACTTGATTCCAATTAATGAGTGAAAGTTTCGATTTCTTTTCCTGAAATTGCAGGTCCATTTTCAATTTGTGATCGTAACAATAAAACTCTGACAAGTTAAAAACTTATTTCTGCAAAGTGTGATAACTCTAAGTGCGTAGTGGTGCGATAATGCCTAGTTATCAATTTTCGTCGTTTAATTTGGCTCATCCGCTTCTTCACTGACCGAGTGCCTATCTCAGGCCATGGTTCAATCAGGTTTAGGCTCAATGTCATCCAAATTGTATTGCAAAATATTTCGCGCTCTTAACGGTTGTCACTTAATCAAGGAATGCCATTGGTGACAACAATCGATCAGTGTCATCAAGACTTACAAATTATAATCGCAGAATAAATGCATAGCTTAGATTGTTGCTATTCATCGGAACAACGGTGACAAGGGTCGTTTATTATTATTCTGCGCATGATTTAATGTACCCCTATAGCGTAGTGACTTCTCGTGTACTGCATACCCTATGTATTTTTGTGAATGTTCTTTCGTTTTACTTGAATTACCTTTTTAATTTCTCCTACTTTCTCAACCCCTTCTCATCTGTTCGTCATACACGAACAGTTGCTTTCTCAATCCGTGGACTTTGTAGACTTTTGTACAGATGTTTGGGTTTAAGCTGTACTACTTGTTGCCTAAGGAGCTTGAAACAGCTCTGAGAGTTCTTCACAGACGCTCGTGCTACTTTGAAATGGTAGATGTATATGGTAATACGTTGATAATACTATTAATAATAATAATAACAATAATGATTATAGTATGATAATAACGTTGATAATAATAATAATAGTAATGAGAATAATGGAATTTCGCAGTGGACATTCCACGACGTGGATCTTCCTCTCCACTTTTTGGTGGGGGAAAAAACCGGAAGACCGGAGTATTTCCCTCGAGCAAGGCGAGAACCAACAAAAAACTCAACCCGGCTACATGTGACACCAGTTCCGGCGATTGAACCCGAGCAACAGAGGAGGGAGGCAAGCGCTAGCACCACAGTGCTAGCACCACTGCGCCATTCCCGCTCCTCCGAAGTCGACGCATTGGTATTTTTTGTGGGATTACTTTTTTACTTTATGAAAAATTAACGATTAATCAAGCGAGGAAAGGACGGGTTACCCTACAAATCGTGTAGAGTGCAATAAAAAATTTAAATTCAGGGGCGCCCGCTTGCCACACTCAAACTGCACGGTGTTTTTTATCGGAGACATTGCTATATTTGGTCATATTTGTTTTCTCCGTCATGTTTAAAGGTCAATTTCGTATCGCAACGTTTTACTTCTGAAGTTGAAGCTTAGGTCAACCAGCTGAATGATATCGCTTCAGCACCGTTATTATTTTTATTTCTAAGACCGGAAGGATTGTTTTTAATCCGAGGCAGTCGTGTTCAGTTCACACCAACTTTACCTCCAACAATAACGTTATCGTTGTGTACGTTCTCTTTAACATAAACAATTGAGGGAACAAATTAGTGGCGGAAAAACCTATTCCCCCTTCCGAAGGCGACAAAAGTTCAACTTTATGGTAGTGGTGTTGCTAAAAGGAATTAAGCTACTACACTTGCTAGGCGGACGTTAGGAAAGTAGAGAGTGTTAGTATGTTTAGACTGAAAACAGTAATAACAAGGACAACTAACACTAGCACTAAGACTGCCACACTTTTGAGCTGCATCTGTAAGTGACTCTCGCAGAAATTATGTAAGGCCGTTTAAGCCCTGTTTTTTGTGGACTTTACACTTATTTTGCTTTTCGCTCAAAACACTCGGACTTTAAACTATGGTAACATAAAACCTTACCAAATTACGTTCGATGTTTTGAAATGGAAAGCAATTGACTTACGGTCGGAATTCTTGGAGTTCATAGGATTGAAAGGTCCCTTCTTAAATTTTCGTCTCAAGACGTCTTTAAAGGAGATTAAGGTATGAATTTGAAATACATTACATGGTGCTCTCATATCGCTTGCTGAATAATTAAAAACAATAGAGCTTTACAACGATACTTAAGAAGCTGTAATTATGTACTATGCCCAAAAACGTTCTCTATCAGAAAAAAGTAAAGAAATCGTAGGAGAACACTGTTATAGGTTTTTTCTTCTAGTGAAGGATCTCTAATATCTAAGGAGGGTCAATGCATTTTACCTAAGCTCCAACCAGCTTTATTCAAAGCGCTCAAAGCTAACTTTGCCCCTTTGCCATCGAACGATTTTCATACGTGCCTTGACCAGAGGATTGAAGTTTGAAATGGTGGGAGAGGCATGGCAATCATTATTAATTTCTTAGTGTTATTAAAAAATACGTAAAACGTTTTACGGATTTTATCTCGGAAAATCTTCACCAGATTTTTTATCAACTTCGGGGATCTGTTTATTGGGATAGCCTTGCTGTTGAGTGAATTTCAACCAATTAAATACAGCCATTTAAAAATTGTTATGCCACTTTTGTTGACGGAAATATCTCTAAATTAAGGGGGCCCTCTGGTTGAAATTTGGCAAGATTAAAAAAATTTTTTGCTTAATTTTTTTTTTTTGGAAAATATTTACTTGAATCTATCAAGATTTTGAATATGTTGTTTGTTTTTGCATAAATTATTTTGCAGAGTAAAATAAACGACGTTGTTTTGAAGATTTTTTTTCGCTGCCACGGTAACTTGTTCAAAACAACCGAATTTTCTCGGCTTAAATGTAAAAGGAACACTCTGTTCCACGTTCCCGTGTTCCCAAAAATCCCGTAGTTCATTCCAAATTCTAAAAGTTATTTTAGAGGCCTGGATACACAGCCACAGGAAGCTACTGGGGGCTACAACAGGGTCTGGCAAAGTCGCCAGTTTTGATCAAAGTGTATCAGTTCACAGTTCATAAAAGCTGGGGGAAAAACAGTCTGTTTTAAAGAAAGGTATTTCAAATAAGCGTAAAGGGTTCAAAGGTGTTCAAAAACAAACTGTAAATATCACGTTCGTCGGTGAAGATGATGTGATGAGCGAAATGATTCCGCCGCCAGCAATCCCGGTTTCTTCGCGAAAACTTGGCGCTTGTGCGGTTGATACCTCTTCCTCGGACGAAAGTAGACGATGATGACTTAGAAATTGCTCAAGGATATCGCCTGATATCAATGGAAAGTCTCAGGAAGTTTTTAAACAAAATACATACTCACGTCCCATGTGCCTCAGGTGAGTCTGTTGAAATTTTTGCATAGTGCTACTTATCATGTCGGAAAATATGAAACAAAATCCATGATCCACTAATTTATCGGGATTTAAACTAGAAAATTGATAGATTGTTTCTTTTTATTTCTCATGTAGATAAGTTGAAGTATTAGAGAGCACTGTAAACAGAATGGGGATGAGCAGTTCAGTCTTTGTCAAGTGTGATTGTGGCATGATAGAGTTCTTTGCCAATGGTGATCACCCCTCCAACGATACCACTCCAAGGAAAATTCAAGGCAAAGATCTGAATTGAAAAATAGTGTACAGTGCATTAGTGATGGGAGTTCAAAAAGAGGGAATTGCCAAGCTGTGTGAAATGCTTAACATGCCATTCAGTATGTCACTCACAACCTGTTAGTGATAATGCTAAAATGGAAGCCAGGAGAAGGGATTCAGAGAGAGTTAAATAGGCAGAGAAGAGAGTACAAAATCAGCACAAGAAATACAGAGTTGCCAGCAGACAAGCTAAACAGTGCAATGAGGATCTCAGGATGCGTGGAAATGGTGTGACATGTGCAGCTGGGACTCTTGGGGAAATAGAATCTTGCAATGAAGGCAAAAAGAAGAAAAAGACTAAGTAGACCAGGAAATAACTTTGGGCATATTTGTTTCAAAATGGTCTTGCCAACATATTGTGTTTTTATGTTAAAGGCCAACTTGGACCCATATTTCCATATATTTTTTCCTTTAAATTGTATTTCCTGCAAATATGGATTTTTCATGAAAATCTGGGTGCCCCCTGAAATTTCTCAGGATGTATTTGTGCAAACATCACCAAATTTGCCAGATATTGAGACATGACATACTACAAACCTATTGAGCAAAATTCAGTTTGACTGAAAAGTATTGGAGTTTTGAGGAGTTAATCTTTTCTCGGAATGAATTGGTTGCCATGGCAACATTAATGGTCAAAACTCAATTTTGCTCTATAAGTTTGAAGTGCTTTTTACGTAGATCCATGTTTCTTAAAACCAGCTCAGTTGGATGTATTTTGTGCTTTAAATTTGAGGGGGCAGAAGA